CCATTCATCCATCCATCATCCATCCATCTATCATTCATCCATTCATCCATCCATTCATCCATCCATCCATTCATCAATCATCCATCCACCCATTCATCAATCATCCATCCACCCATTCATCCATCCATCATCCATCCATCCATCCATTATCCACCATCCATCCATCCATCCATCCATCCATCCATCCATCCATCATCCAGGGGTAGACATAACCATTGTTTAGTTTGTCTGAGTCAACCTATTTTCATTTGGGACAACCAGATCCTGTCTCCTGTTGTCTGGTGGACAACCAAGAAAAAAAGACCTTGACTGAAGTTCTCTGCTGTGACTGTCCATCATTTATAAAAATGAAAGGGAGAAAAAACTTGGTAAAACCAAAGAAAACACTAAACTGTAACTTTTAATAAGGTCATGTACACAGTATACTCTTATTTAAGAGAAAATATTTGACCTATGAGCAGAAAGTTTATAAATGTTGGTAAGCTCTAGATTTTATTAGTAACATTGTTGCTGCTTTACTCCCTGAGCCTTAAATACTTTATTTCAAAGAAGAGAATGAGGAAGTTTTATTCACACAGATCCTGTCAACCTGACTGACAACAATTACATATAATAAACTTTGTCTACACAACAATATACTTGTTAAATTACATTTTTCTTCAGATTCTTTTGGACAACCTAAATGTTTTGTGGACAACCTGAAAAATATCCTTATGTCTACCTCTGCATCTCACAGCAGAAAAAACCCAAGCCTGAACATTTTTCTACCGCACAATATCCCATTTCTGTCTGCGTATACACTGATAATACCAGCATATTACTACAAAAACACATATCTATCAGTCAAGCATATTAAGGAAAATGCAGTTTCAAGCCATTTTGTACAGACGAAAATAATGTAATGGTGATATATTATTTAATTATCATCCTTTTGAATTTTACAACACAACTGTAAAATTATCTTTGCACTATCAGCCTAACACTGAGCATCAACGTGCACATTATGAAGGTTTTTATGTTTAAAAAGGAACAACTTAGGGACTTTCTGGGAGTGAAAATACTTGACATTAAAAACCATGACTGATAATAATACAAAGTGGACAAAGAAAACCAACAGAATCTATGTGAAGGCTGTAAATGCATTACACTTTTTATAAAAGTTTGATTCCAAATATAGATTTATAAATTATAAAGTTGCTCATTAAAATCCCCAAATGGCCTCTTTTTAATGATAATAAAGTATATAACTGATGAAATAAATGCATTGATTCTGAGCACTGCTCAACTTCTTCTGGTGGATCTGAATCYAAGTGTTGATATCCAAGTCCCGCCTCCACCTGATTTCTGATTGGCCAGTTAACTAGAGTTTAAAGAGGCAGCTGCACCTCTGATAGGTCCAGAGAAACGTTGGTAAACCTCTGACTGGGCGAGCCTTGTTTATTATGTTATTTCCTGGAGGTGAGCAGGACTTTCAGCACGGTGCTGGAACACCATCAGCCTACATCCATCCATTCTCTGCTCTGAGCTGAGTTCATCTCCTGAGGTGGGGGGACACCTGGACAGGGCCGTCACAGGTAGACCTGGACAGGGCCGTCACAGGTAGACCTGGACAGGTGTCAGACCGTTACAGGTAGACCTGGACAGGTGTCAGACCGTTACAGGTAGACCTGGACAGGTGTCAGACCGTTACAGGTAGACCTGGACAGGTCTCAGACTGTCACAGGTAGACCTGGACAGGTC